GGGGGGGGGGGGGGGGAAAGCCCAAACCAAAACGAGCCTCCTGCTTCTTGGGTCTCTGCCACAGAGCGAGACGTACTTATTTTTTATTTTAATCACACATTGGATAAGTTTCATTTCTCTCTCTCCACCTTTTGACATTTGGAACCTCATCGTCACCTTTTATTTGAATTGACCTGCCATGCATGCATGAATCCACCACATGGTTATCGTAACGTTGTCACGGCACTGACATGTTCAGCCCCCCCCCCCTCGCCATGCACACGGTTTAGATCTCCCTTCTGTCTCTTGGTTAGCGTGTGCTTCATTTTAAGATGTCAGTAATGCTTTTAAGCCATTCCCTCTACTTAGACAAAGTGACTACTGAGCAGTTGTTGTAGCATTACTGCATCCTTTTAACCCTCAGATTCCTCACAGTATTTTTTTTCAGGATGGTTTTTGTCACATTAGGACAGGTCATGTACATTTTTCCAGTTTTTTGCTTATTCTGCTTTGGTTGTCTTTAAAATGAATAATGCTGAAACAAAACTGGACTTAAAGTTGAGCTTGTGAGGAGTTGAACTGTTTCGAGATATAAGCCTGCTGCTGCTAGCTGGACTCTGGTCTATTAGCTCTTCTATCAAACCCCACCGTGAGTAACTGGTGTGTAAATAGACCCACATGTGTCCTTCAGTCTGTCCTCGTCGGTCCTCTTCTTATTTATGTGTTCCTTCATCCTTTCTGGTGTGTTTACCATCTCAACTCATTTCATTTTTTTCTCTTTATTGGAGTTCTTTACGAAAATGAATAAAGTTTGATTTAAATTAATTTTCACTGGCCTTTTGTTGTTTCTTTCTTTGAATTGGCTCACTTATCCTGAGTGGTCGAGGGAAAGTCAATTGTAGAAATGCTGGATGGTTCATCCTTTGGAGAGCAGGACTGTGCTGAGTGAATTTAATGCTAATCTACATGGGGGCCTGTAGTGTCTCTTTAACCATCATTTCCTCCAAATATTGCACTCAATCATTGAATACTGAGCAAAATGCTCATGTGAAATCTGAGCTTCACAGGTAAAACTCAGGAGAGATCAGTGGCTGTCTTCAAGTGCAATATGTATTATTATGACGCCTTGCCCTCTAGACGAGCTATAGATGTCTGCTCCGAAAACAAATTAAACTCATGTAATACAGGTTTCTACATGTATATAATAAAATTGCTGCATTGACCAAAAACGGAACACAAGAATGTTCCTACTGTCTTAATAAATGTAATGTATGAATTAAAACATTTTATTTGCCATCATGGAGGAATATAAGTAGCCTTATTTAGAAGAAAAATAAAATTCTACAAGCTTGTCATGCTGAGTCATTCACTTGATCATATTAATTCTAAATCCTAAACATATATCTACAATATCTTGTTATGCACGTTATTTTTCTATTGGAAGCCTCTTATTTATTTTCTCTGCCTCGGTTTAATGTTGCTAATAAGCACTTTTATTTTAATATTGCTTCTGAATTTTACATGTTAATCTTTTATTTTATTTCTTTTCGATTCAAGAACTTTAAAACTGCCTCGTGTCTGAATTATGCCATAGAAACGCATTTCCCGCTCCTAGTTATATTAAATTCTAAATATCTATTTGATTTACATTTCCTTCCCTTAGTTAAATTATTTAAATTATATTATCTATGACTTGTTTTGATTTATAAGAAGCCATCGGCTTCTGCGCGCCCCCCTGCGGCCGCAGGAGGAACTGCAGGACGGGACGGTGAAAGGGACTCCGGTGATCGCGGTGCTTCATCTTCATCACTCCTCCTTTCAGCGAACACGCCGGTAGATTGACTTTATTCAACGTTAAAAGGCGGTTTCTCGCTTCTCAAAATGGCGTCTAACGGTAAGAGAAACCCCTCGATGGTTGAATAATAACGGTGTCGATGTTTGAAGGTAGGAGGTGAACGTTAACCGGTGATGAGCTGGTAGCAACACGGTCAGTGATGGTTATTAGCACACTTAGCTGCTAATCATATCTTTTTAAATTAACGTATATTTTCTCATTTTATTCTGTTTGGATTTAGAGGGACTCCTCACTTGCCGGCTAGTTAACACTGACGCTGTTACCGTTATGCTAACTTAGCTACCGGTGTATTCAGTTAGCATTTAGCTTAACGGCTACCTAGCTATCAGCTAGCTTGTTCGCTTGTGTTACTGACCCAGAGTCAGCTGTCAGCTGGCCCGCCTCAGAGCTTGGAGCATGTTTATCTTCATGTTCTGGGAAATAACAGCACCTCCATGCTTCCTAGTTGCATTCCAACACTGGTTAGATGTTGGCTCACACTTAATACATGTATTGAGCCGCTGGTTGTTTATCATCTTATTGTATCAGTGTTTTAGAAGATGATGGTATTGTTCTGTATGTTGTATATGATTCAATATGTTTTTCATTAAAACATAATTACATTGTGAGGGTGATTCGAGTGTGAATGCTTGGTAGCATTTAAATCCGCTCTATTAGGTCTATAATGTTCAAAATCTTTGTTTGGATATTAACTCTCCATTTTGTTTATTCCATAGATTATTCTCAAACATCTGGACAGGGGTAAGTAATGTAATACTCAACCATGACTTGTTTATATTTCTGTAGGTTTTACATATATCATTCTCTCTCTCTCGATATATATCAAAAGCTTCCTTCACTCTCATATAAACACCGAGAACAGAGGATGTTGTACAGATTGTAAAGCCCTATGGGGTACATTTGTACAAATATAATTTAATTTAATTCAATAGAAACATATCTCTTTTGGGGACATAATCAGGTCCTAAATGTGATTCAAGACAAGGAAAGTATGAGAAGCCATGAAATGAACAAACAATGTAATGAAATCTGGTATGTGAGCATGTAGTTTCTTCTCACCTCTGCCAGCTATGGGTCCTATGGTGGAGGAGGTGGTGGTGGAGGTGCTAACCAGGGCTATGGTCAGTCTTCTGGTCAGAGCTACAGCCAGCAGAGCTACGGCGGCTACAACCAGAGCTCAGACAGCAGCCCTGGCTCCTACAGCCAGGGAGGACATGGCAGCTATGGTCAATCAGGCCAGTCAGGTAGAGGAAGTCACATTCTACTCAGGTCTCTACTCACATTGTGGTGTAGTTAACTTTACCTCCATGTCCTGTCTGTTCTCCCTGTAGGATACGGTTCTCCCCCCTCTAACCAGGGTGGAGGAGGAGGTGGAGGTTATAATCAGTCCTACAGCCCTGGAGGTTGTAACAGCAGCAACCAGCCCTCCAACATGAGCTACAGCCAGCAGTCTTCATCCTTCTCTGGGTACAGCCAGCAGCAGCAGCCTCCGTCTTTATCCTCCGCTGGGTGAGACACCGTCAGCTTCTGCTTCTACACCTTTTATCTGACTTGCTTCTGCTTCTACACCTTTTATCTGACCTGCTTCTGCACCTTTTATCTGACCCGCTTCTGCTTCTGCACCTTTTATCTGACCCGCTTCTGCTTCTGCACCTTTTATCTGACCCGCTTCTGCAACTTTATCTGACCCGCTTCTGCTTCTACACCTTTTATCTGACCCGCTTCTGCACCTTTTATCTGACCCGCTTCTACACCAAAATTCAAAGAACCACAAGGTGGTTATTCTACTGTCACTGTGTCATTTGTACTCGCAGCTGAAAAGGATATATATATATATATTATATATATATTTTAATATCCAGCACTCATACACTTGTGCTGCTTGTAGACTGTACTTGTTTACAATTTACAGAAACAGAACTCTTCAAATGAAAACCCTGTTGAATATGTAATGATGTTAGAACTGTTCACAACAACCCACGGTCATCAAAGTACTGAAACATCCGGTCTGACATGTGAGTTTTCCAGGTGACAATAGTCATCATTTTTCATTGTGAATAGAACTCACTTCACTATGAAGGTGTCTTCTGGTTTAAGAACCCGGCTTGGGTGGAGGAGGTTTGTAGCTTTTTAATGCTTCTCTTCCCTCGACCTTCCACAGCTATGAAGGGAACTCGCAGGCTTCTTCTGGCTACAACCAGCCGCCAAGCGGTGGACCGAGTGGAGGTGGTTACGGTAGCAGTGGAGGTCAGACCGGTGGCTACGGGGGCAGCGGGGGCCACCAGCAGCCGTCCCAACACGGGGGGGGGTCCCTACAACCAGCCTCCGAGCTACAGCGCCCCCCCGCCTCAGAGCTACAGCCAGCAGAGCCAGTACAGTCAAGGTGGAGGTCAGAGATGAGTTTACACTCACTTTTTAAATGTGTGAGTTGTTTATGTTCAGTTGAAACAAAGTAAACTTGAACCTCAAGAGGGAAAAAACTTGCACATGAAATACTTATGATCCTCAGACCTCTTACAGCTTTTACAGGGACTAAAAGCTCTCATCAACCTCCACATACACTGAGTCTACAGTGGGACACAATTAAATCAAACATATACAGTATTTTATTCTTTCAGAGTGTGTGAAGTGCTCTCAAACTGCTGTCTGGGTCTGATTGTCTCTCCTCTCTCTCAGGATATGGAGATGAAAGCCCACCGCTGAGCGGAGGAGGAGGAGGGTACGGTGGTCCCGACGGAGGCTACGGAGGTCAGGACAGCCACGGTGGAAGAGGACGCGGGGGCGGATTTGGAGGCCGCGGTGGAGGAGGATACGATCGTGGTTTTGATCGAGGTGGCCGAGGAGGACCAAGAGGAAGAGGAGGCATGGGGTGAGTGTCTAAAAACCATCCAGTGTCCCTGTTGTCAGTCACGTGTTAGTAGATCTACAGTGATGCACGTAAATGTTTCCTCCCCTGAGGGAACACGTGGACCAGAACAGAGAGCACTGGTCCATGTTGGTAGCTACATGCTAAAGCTATGAGAGTTCCATGCAGCTGTGTCCCCTCACACATGCTTCTGAGGAAAAACACTCTCAGAGATTCTTAAACTGACACAAAGCCATCATTAGTTGCAGAAAACCGCTGCACACATCGTGGTGTGTGTTCAGAGCAGCATGTCATACATGCACCTTATTAAGTGAACACATGCATATTAAGAGTTCTTCCTGAGGTAAACTGAGGACAGAGACAGTCTGAGTGCAACTCTGGAGAACAAAACCAGTTCTGATCCATCACCAAATAATCTCTAATATCTCCCTACTCTTTATGATTAAAAGCTGCTACTGAGTTTTGGGAGAGAGAGAGAGAGAGAGAGAGAGAGAGAGAGAGAGAGAGAGAGAGAG